ACATAACCTATAGTCTAGTTCTTTCTTCAAATTAAACAAACTTTATTCCAATTTCTTTCTTCAAATTTAATAAACATTGTCATCTAGTGACAATAATTCAACTTGTTGTAACATAACCTATAGTCTAGTTCTTTCTTCAAATTAAACAAACTTTATTCCAGTCCTTTCTTCAAATTTAATAAACATTGCCATCTAGTGACAATAATTCAACTTGTTGTAACATAACCTATATAGTCTAATTATTTCTTCAAATTTAACAAACTTTATTCCAGTTCTTTCTTCAAATTTAATAAACATTGTCATCTAGTGACAATAATTCAACTTGTTGTAACATAACCTATATTCTAGTTCTTTCTTCAAATTAAACAAACCTAATCACAGTTCATTCTTGAAATTTAATAAACATTGCCATCTACAATAATTTAACCTACTGTAACATAACCTATATCCTAATGTAAAATGTGTTGACATTTAGCGTGCTTATTAAATCAAATCGATAGACGAAAGCTGTATTGATAAAATAAAATTTGGTGCAGTATCGAAAAACGACATGATGGGTGGTTACACCTAACAGTAATATTTATTTTGCGTGGGTACGATTTCTCCCGTTGGACAAATTATAATATATTTCTTACTCGTTGATGCGAGTTAACTTCAAAATGCCACGAGGCACATTAAATTTTCGAATGATCGAGCAGACGTTGGAATTTTCGTGTCCATCGGCTGGCAGTCGCCTCTCTGATAGACTCGGGATTATCTGACGAATCGGTTGTTATCTTTAGCGCGTAGTAAAAATAATCTCCCGTATTATTGTCATCAATAAGAGGACGTACGCGACGTAGAACGCTCCAGTTCCAAGAGACAAACGTTCTCCTCCTGCAACGCAACAGCTTCCCAAGCATCGGTTCTCAACGACGATCTTTCCCCCTTTTGCGATATCGTATAACCCAGCCAGTATATAACCTCTCCCCCACGTTCTTTCTCTTCGCCGAGAGAGGAGACCACGATTTTCTCGGAACGCTTCTACGGCCACGCAGAGGAAACCATCATCGGCCACGCTACCGTGTCCTCCTCTGGTACCAGGTACAGAGCTTTCTCTAACAAACGAACGAACGAACGAACGAACGACACGTCTCTCTTCACCACGACGAGATCCTCTGGAGAGGATTTTTTGTCTGTGGGACCGAAGAGAAGAGAAGAGAAGAGAAGAAGCCATCGAAACGAGGAGAAGCACACGGAAAGCGCAGACCACGGCGTGGTTCACGTGGCCTCTCAAATAAGGACAGACCGATTTCCGGTGGGCTCGCTCTCCCCTCCGAGAGCCGCCGTGATGGCAACCTGACCCCACCATCAAACCGATCGAGGGTAGCCTTTCTCTTTCTCCCTCATTGTCCAACTCCTCTCCTCTTCCTCCATCCAA